GGCTGATCGCTGACTCTCCATTTAACTGCCTCCTCAGAAGGCATTCTAGTCACTTCTAGTTCTCAGTTTCCACAAGCAGGAAACACACACTGCCTTCTGTGGTGGAGAGAGCAATTTCTGCACGCCTCTCTGAAGTCGATGTTGTACAAGGTGGCATAGTGCAGCGCGTCCTCAGCCACACAACTGCACAGCGAGGGTGAAACCTCGTGGCAGTGTTTCTGACGGTATCTCAACAAGGCTGATGGCACCAACCACGCTCTGACTTCCAAGATGTGTGAGGGAATCAGTCTCCAGCATAAATGGCTGTGGACCCTGAGCACTTGTTCTCTAACTGCAGAGTCCAAGGACAGAACTGCTGGAAATAAGGCTATCAAAAACAGGGAGCTGAGTTCAAAGGACATGTGGACAACTCTCCCCCAGGCTGACGCCTTCCTCTACCACTCCAGCCCTCAGGAATCGGGCTCTCCTTTGCATAAGTTGGCACCCAGCATAAGCCTAACTGTGTGTGTGTCTGTGTGTGTGTGTGTATCTGTGTGTGTGTGTGTTTCTGATTTAAACCCTCCCCAGACAAGGGCCAACCAGATCTCAAAACTTTTAATTCCAGGGCTTTTCTCTCCGCCCCACACACATCCAGTGCTCATATACAAATCATGCACTTGATGTTGATAACAATGACCAGCTGCTGCTAAGAAAGAATCAAGATAAAGTATGAGAGGAGCTTACATTTCATCAGAAACTCTCCTGGATGCAGTTGCTAAAGCCCACATTGCTCTGACTGTATCTTCCTAATTAGATCCTCCTATGTTTGCATTTCTCTACAGGAAAAGGGAGAAAGAAGGGCGGGCACTGTGGTATTGTAGGTAAAGCTACTACTACCCATGGTGCCAGCATCCTACATGGGTACCAGTTTGAGTCCCAGCTGCTCCACTCCCAATCCATCTCCCTGCTAATGTGCCTCAGAAACCAGCGGAGGATGGCCCAAGTGCTTGGGCCCCTGCACCCACATGGGAGACTCAGAAGAAGCTCCTGGCTCCCAGCTTTGGATCAGGCCAGCTCTAACTGTTGCAGCCATTTGGGGCATAAACCAGTGGGTGGAAGATCTCTCTCTCTCTCTCTGTCTCTCTAATTCTGTCTTTCAAATAATAAATAAATCTTTCTTAAAAGGGGGAGGGGAAGAGGTGGCTCATGGTGGCCACACATTGTCACCACAGAGCCCCATTTTAGCCATGAGTAAGATGGAGCCCTTCTAATCCTTAAACTCCATCCCAGTGAACATCTTGGATAAAGTGCTAGATTGAGGATCCCCTGACCACATGATCATCCAGTGTCAATTCTCTTGTTCATGAACTTAAATCCAGTGGTCCATACTGTCTAAAATGAATCTGGAGCAGAATAAAATCTGGTTGGTAAGAAACAAAATGCGTTGAAGAAGTAGAAAAGCTTAGAGAAATCTGGGGTATAAGGAATCCACCATTACAGCCTCCCTGGGAGAGGGATGAGGGCTGCGAGCCAAGGGAGCAGAAGCCAGCAATGCTATGGGGACAGCAGAGACCAATTCCTCAGAGGAGTTGTCGGATGGAAGCAGAAAGTCCGACTGAGAGCTTAGTTTGTGTGATGGCTGGATTAACCTCTGACAGGGGAAACTTGGATGATAACAAGCACAGGGTATAGTATTCGCCTTTTACTTTGAATAACCAGGCAAGGACGAGAGCAGTTTCACCTGGGGTTTATGAGAGTAATGTTTTGATGTAATTAGGATATAACTTTGTCATATTGGGGAACAGCGGATGTCACTGGGCTGCAGTGTGTAATTCTATCACACGGTTGTAGGCTGCATGAGATTTGTGTTGATGAGAAGGTTTTGAAGTGTAAGAGTGGTTCACACAGATCTTTCTCTGTGCCAGGCAACCTCTCCAGGGTGAGGACAGTGGATGCCACCCGAGAGGAGGGAAGCGACCATATTAGGACACCCGACAGGAGCCCAGGCAAGCTCTGGTTCACGTTTAACTGTGGATCTCCAGACCAGTTTGTATTTGCTGAAGGAGCATCACTGCGGTCTTCCGTTGGGTCATCTGGAGAAGGTTGCTCCCTAAGATCTAATTTTTTTTTAAGACTTATTTATGGGGCCGGCACCATTGGCTCACTTGGTTAATCCTCCGCTTGTGGCGCCGGCATCCCAAATGGGCGCTGGGTTCTAGTCCTGGCTGCTCCTCTTCCAGTCCAGCTCTCTGCTGTGGCCTGAAGGCAATGGAGGATGGCCCAAGTGCCTGGGCCCTGCACCCACATGGGAGACCAGGAGGAAGCACCTGGCTCCTGGCTTCAGATCGGCGCAGTGTGCCGGCTGTAGCAGCCATTTGGGGGGTGAACCAATGGAAGGAAGACCTTTCTCTCTGTCTTTCTCTCTCACTGTCTAACTCTGCCTGTCAAAACAAACAAAAAAAAAAGACTTATTTATATGAAAGTCAGAGTTACACAGAGAGAGAAAAGGAGAGAGAGAGATCTTTCATTTGCTGGTTCACTCCCCAATTGGCCGCAATGGCTGGAGCTGTGCTGATCCAAAGCCAGGAGCCAGGAGCTTCTTCCAGGTCTCCCATGAAGATGCAGGGCCCAAGGACTTGGGCCATCTTCCACTGCTTTCCCAGGCCATAGCAGAGAGCTGGGTAAGAAGTGGAACAGCTGGGTCTTGAACCTGCGCCCATATGGGATGCTGGTGCTTCAGGCCAGGGTGTTAACCTGCTGTGCCATAGTGCCAGCCCCTCCTCCCTAAGATCTGATAGGGCCTCCTCACAGAAGCCCAGACTCCTGCACACATTCCCCTCCTGCAGGAGAGGCAGCTGCTGACCACTCCATCACCACACTTCTCCTAGAGGACAACATGATTTTCTAGACAAGAACCTGGAGAGGTGACAGTGGGTGCACACCCAGACCCAAAGGGTGAAGTATGCCACTTTGTTTCATCCCTTCAGTTCCAAACCACGCCAGGTGATCCTTCTAGCACCACAGGCTTTGAAGTGATTGTGATGATCACCATACTCCCCGGCTCTCCACCTGGGATGACTAAGGAAATGTGGCAACATTTCTCTTAGATTGGGAAATCATGTTCCACTCTCCTTTCTGGAGTTTCCAGGTCATTGCCATAAATCGCATTCAACCCAAGGACAGGGAGAGCCTTTCTGCTTTGTGCTGGGCAGCACTACTTGTTACAAACCCCCTCTGTTTTGAATGGTGGGCTGTCTCTTCACAGCATCTGCCCATGTGCCCTAGTTGGAGCCGTGGGTCACACAGAACATGCCTGTCCTTTTCCACAAGATAGCCCTTCAGACACCGGAAGAGACATTTCTGCCCCTGGAAGTCTGCTTTTCCTTGGGATGCCCTTCCAGCTCCTCCAGGCGTCCAGAGATCATTCCCGGCCCCCTTCCAGCCTGATCCCTCTCTTCTACATCCTCTTCTGTCACTTAGAAGTCTCTGTTCTACAGAGCAGTTGTAACACCATAGTCCAGCTTTCCTGCGGGGCTGAAGCTATTTCCAAACATTGCAGAAATTTGCTATGGTCCTGGCAGCCAAACCCACAAAAGCCAGATCCCCAGCTCTCACTGAGCAGCCCAAGAACATGTTCAAGTCATCCTGGCTCGGCCCATGATGGATCGCATTGGACGCCATCCTTTGGTCTCTGGGATGAATCATGAGTTTCTGTCATTGCTGTGGTTGGCTGCCCCTCGGGTCAGTGGTTGGTGGGACAGATACCACCCTTGATGTGTGTCCTTTGCCCTTAGTATGGAAACTTGAAGGCACAGGCAGCAGCGACTGGCCCATTCCTAAGCCCAAATGATTTGTCCCACTTGACAGAAAGTGATCCCAGGCCAGGAAGGTCCTGGGCTTCTGCCTCAGGATTTCCAGTGAAGGGTCATCTGTTAGGGCTGAACTTGAACCTCCAGATTCCTGCCCTAGAGTTGATCCAAGGACCTGTCTTCTGTGTTCCAAGTCCTCTCTGCCTAGCCAGCAGCCACACTCCAACCAACCCCACCCACCTCCATAGAGCAGTCATACTTCCAGGGTGGCTTCCAAGGTCTGGTTTTCCTGTGTGTCACCACAACACTGTCTCCACCCCCACCCCCCACTGTGTCTACCACACTGTGCCTTGAGATAGGGCCCTATCTGCATGACCCTGCCTTGGCCCCAGACTAGGAGTCCCATGGGAGAAGCTCCCGAGTCTTGCTTGGTTAATTCCAGCAGAGTCTGGCACAAGGAAGTCACTCGTGCAAGACCCACGGGGTTAAAATAAACTCATCCCTTGGCCCTGTACACCTCCAATGGGAAAGGTGGGAATTGAGCAGCCCTTCCTCTGGGTGGGAGCCAGGAGGAGACCATGGCCTCTGCTTCACAGTCTCCATCACAGTGGGACTACCTGGGTTACATAGCATCAGTAATTCCCCCCTTCCTACTTCTGTAGGCTCTGCTTTTCCCCAGCTAGGGCATGTGGTCCAAACCCCAGATCATCACTTAAGCATCTCACAGGCAGCAGCTGGGAGGAGAGGTTGGCTAAAGCCGGGCAAACCTATTCCACACCCCAATCTGCAAAGGGAAGCAGGTCTACCATGATCCTGAGTAGCCTCAGCTATAAAGGGCATCCCAACTCTCTCCACGGCATCCTAGGGCAAGGAGGTGAAGCAATACCCAGCCTGCTCAGTGCAAACCACACCCCAGAGGCCCAATGTGACACACAGTGTCCCACAGAGATGCAAGAAAAGCCAGGGCCACTCCAAGCAGCTGAATATCTACTGATGGACTCAGAGAATCTACCGGTTCACATAGCCCCTACCAGCTCAGCCCACAGGAAACAAGCAATGCTACCGCCATGCTCAGCTGGAAAGACCAGTCAGCGTGTTCCTCTAAGCTTCCAAGTGACAAGGGCAGGCTCCTGACGGTGGAGTTGAAGGGCAGAGAAACTAGTGCTCTCTTCATCATCTCGAAACGGCAGGGCAGAACAGGGCTCCTCTTACCTGCCAGGATGAAGATGCCCACGAGAATCAGGAAGACCAGCAGGTAGAGTCCCAGGACAGCATGCTTCAGGGCCGACAGGGAGCCCAGCTGGGTGCAGCAGCCGCCTGCCCGCCGTTTATGGCATGGACCTGGACAAAAGGGGGATGACAGGAAAAGGAAAAATAAACTTGAAACCTCCATGGGCTTTTCCTTTGTCTCTTTCAGTGCCATCTCTGCACGATGCATGCGGATCCTAGGGGACATTTCATGTCCTCCCCCACGTCTATAATACGGCCACCTTGCTGAGGAACTCTCCAGAACACTGCAAGGTGCTCAGCTTCTGACTGTCTTCCCATCCTCTGTGCTCATGAGGGAGCCAGACAGACACGTGCACCGTTCTCGTGTTCACACAAATCCTCCCTCTGGGGGTCAGGCCAGCAGCAGAACAACACTGGAGTAGGCTTGAATATGTCGTCCTTTACAACGCATGACTTCCCCTTGTGAGCCGGGGAATATGGAGGGAACCTAGAGAAAGAGCTGCAAACCCAAACTTCCGCAATGGCCAGGAGGGGTGTGAATGGGCAAAATGGGCCAGGTGGGACTGTGCAGAAGCCAACGGCACATGGCCACTCCAGAAGAGGTTGCCTGTTGCTATGCAGAAATGAGGGTGAGGCATTGCCAGATCTGGAACTTTTAAAACAAGCTACAAGTGATTAGGAGACATCGCTGTATTTTGTAAGTGTTGGCAACTAATTTAAAAACCAAACCAAACCAAACGTGGGGAGCATAAAAACCACACTTCCAAGCCGACTCTGACAACCGTCTTGCAACTTTGGCTTTAGATTTATCAGGAGGTATGGAAGCCCACCTCTGGTATTCATACAGGATTCACCATCTTTCACCCCAAACGGAGGCATGACATCAACACTGTCGAGGATGTGATGGGCCAACCGCTTTGGTTTCCAGCTAAAGAACATCCAATGTCAGTTCGTGGCAAACTTGTACCAGGTCCCAGGTGCCCTGAGTTTTCAACTCACTTTGTGCCTCTCAGACACCATGCAGGGACCAGGAAGCTTGCTGGCCTCCACCTGCTACATCATCTGAGAGTGGCAGGAAGGGACGCTCTCCCACCCTGAGCCTCGTAGGGCAGATGAGGACCACTGTGGAGCATTTTTTTCAACATACGCATGACCCTGTTATACGTATTCCCAGCCAATGGAGGTGAGAGATCCACCCCACCAAAGGAACTGTTCCCAACTCTTGAGTGTTGCTAAGGTGTGGGAGCTGACAAAGGCTGGCAAGAGACGTGGAAATCACTGGCATTTAGAAAGTGGCCTGAAAGATGGCATGTTGGTTGCAATTCCTTGGCAGGTGTTTACTTGAAAGGAAACACTTCAAGGGCCGGGTTTTACCTCTCGGGTTACATGACTACCTCCTTGGTCGGCAGGAAGCTCTGTTATCACAAGGGAGATGATAGTGATGACTGACGCCCTAGGAGTCAAACAGCCCTGGTCCCGAGAGAGGTGAGGAACAACTTCTTCTTTTATTGAGAGAGAGTAAGAGAGAGCGAGTGAGAGAGCGAGAGAGCAAGAGATTGATCTTCTATCTGCTGCTCACGCCCCCACGCTCCATGATGTTCACAAGACCTGAGACTGGACCAAGTCAACGCTGGCCTCTCATGTGGGTGGCAGGAACCCAAGTGCTGGAGTCATTCCCTGCTCTGTCTCCCAGGGTGCACATTAGGAGGAAGCTGGAATCAGAATCGGAGCTGGGGCTCAAACTCCCGGACTCCGATAAGGGACATGGGTGTCCCGGGGGCATCTTAACTGGTGTGCCAAACGCTCTCCTGGAGAATCGATTTCTCACCCATTTGCTCCTCCGTCTTATTGCGATTTCTGCCATAAAACTGCTAAGCAGAACAATTACACAATATTTCCGTAGAACCTTGGGCATGCTTTGGAGCAAGTTGCTAAGAAGTAGGAATTCAGTGACCATTCTAATTAATCTCCAAATCAGCCAATTGTGAAGGGTTAACCTGATTTTTCTCTAAGACTTGAACAGCGCACATCTTTCTAACTCATCCTAATTCTTCTTTTCTAGGAATTTCATCTGTTTCCCACACCACGATCACAACCAGCTTTCCTCCTAAATATGTAGGCTCCCAGTGACACTTCATCTCTTCTTTAACTTCCTTCCTCCCCTCCCCTCCTCTTCCTCTCCCTCTCCCTTTCTCTCCTTCCTGTGAGACTTACTAACTGACTGCAACTCAGAATAGCTTCTATCCCTCAATGGTTGGCACAGCCTTGTATGACTGTATGATATTATACAAATATTTGTCATCATTACCACAACGCTAATTTCAGCTGTCCTGCTGTATGCCCCACTTCCTCCTGAGCCCCATGGCAGATTAGGTGACAAGTCATTCAGCCACAATCCTCCCAACCTGAGTCCTGCCTCTGCAGGAGTGTGTGTTGTTGGTCACTTGCTGTTAGAATGAGTCTGCTTGCAATGACATTGCTCCATTGTTCCTGTTCTTTGCCTTCTATTTAATAGCAAGCACCCCCTGTGACAGGTCCATCCATGGACACAGACCTTCTTCTGAGAGAGCTTAGTTCTTCATGTAAGACTTGGTTACTTGAACTTTCAACAAAAAAACTATTTTACCTAGAACATACTAAAGACTTCAAATAGATGTTTTCCACAATGGCTCAATAAGCAGAACAGGAGCGGTCTGGCTAGATGTTGACCTTGCAAGAAAAAGAAGAGAATTTCAAGAAAGACAAAGTTACTAGGGCTGCTCCAAACACCCTTACCAACTTTTCCTCTGGGTGGAAGCAGCATAATAACTGAGAGACGATTCACATTATCTGAGTGTGGGGGGATTACAAACACTCCAAATGGTACCATCATCAAAGCCAGACAGAAAGGAAGCTTCCTATGTTGTTAGAAAGAAAAAACTAACATGTAAGAGAAACGAGCTCTAGACCATGAAAAGAGAGAGGAAACTTACAAGCGAATTACTATGTGAAAGAGACCAATCTGAAAAGGTTAAGTATTGTATGATACCAACCATACAACACTCTGGGAAAGGCAAAACCTTGGAGACAGTGGAAAAAAAAAATAAGGTAAAGTAAGATCAAATGGAATGAAACCCCTGTCGTCGCCAGAGGTTAAGGGGAAGGAGGGAGGAATAGCTGACGCATAGGGGACTTCTAGGGCGATTCTGCAATGGTGGGCACATGTGCGCTAACTCTCTCTATATATTTTCTTAGACTCACCATGTCTCTCTAGCATCCACTAATTACAGGGCTGAACTGCTGGCCAAAGCGCTTACTAGCTCCGCAAGTCAGCTTGCCTAGAGCTTACCGCTCCGTGCACAGGGGCTGCTGCAAGGCCACCCCCGCTCATGTCCTCACATCACTCTCACACAGCAGGCCGGTGCCTCCCCACCCTAGGCCACACCAGGGCCAGGCACCAGGCAGCTGGAAACCACCCCTGCAGACCAGAGCCCACCAAATCCACAGACTGCCCAACCCCAAGAGCGAATCCTAACGTGAGCCAGAGACCGCAGGACAATGACACGTCAGTGAAAGGCCATCCACGGTAACAAATGCGCCACTCTAGTGGGGGATGTGGATAGCGGGGGGAGCTGTGCAAGTGGGGGAACTCCAAAATTTCCACTTAATTTTGTGGTCAACCTAAAACTGGGCTAAAAAAAAATTAAGTCTACTAGAAATGAAAGTAGAGAAAATAAATAACTGTAGAGGCTTGGACTCAGGGCTTGCAGGGGTAAACTTGTCAGTTATGGAGCACCCCCTCCCAACTGCCGGCCTTCAGGCCCCCCCCTCCCTCCAATGATCCCTGCCCTCTTGTGTATCCTCCTTCAGAACCATGGCGGGGTTGATTGGTGCAACCAACAGAATATGGCAGAAGGGACCACGTGTCCCTCCTGAGATCACACAAGACACTGCAGCTTCTCTCGGAGCACTCATTCGGGAAGAAGCCGGCCGCCATGTCGTGAACACCCCATGGAGAGGGCGGCGGGAGCGAGGCTCGCAGCCAACAGCCTCTGACTGATCCTGAAGGCAGGTCCTCCAGCCTGGTCCGACCTGCACAGGACAGCAGCCTGGCCAACAGCCGGACTCCAACCTCATGGAGACCCCGAGCCAGAACCACCGCCAAACCCTCCTGGACTCCTCCTAGACTGCATTATAGAGAAACCCATTGGAAAGCAAAATTTGTATCCTAAAAAGTCAGAAAAATCTCGGCTTTCTTTATACACCCACGACTTCCTCAGAAACCACGGGCGGAGTACACTTCTATTTGCTTTATGTGCTAAGTTTTGGGGTAATGTGTTGGTGGCAATAGATAACAACTATACGTAAGATAAATGCAAGCACAAAGGAGAGATGTTTTCTGCATCATTCACCCCAACTTCCGGAGCACGGCACGTGCAGGTGCTCAGGGAGTATTTGTCGAGCAAGAGAATAGATAGAGCCATTGGGGCCAGCACTGTGGCGTAGTGGGTAAAGCTGCTGCCTGTAGTGCCCGCATCCATATAGGTGCTGGTTCAAGACCCGGCTGCTCCACTTCCGATCCAGCTCTCTGCTGTGCCCTGGGAAAGCCCTGGAAGATGGCCCAAGTCCTTGGGCCCCTGCACCCGCGTGGGAGACCCAAAAGAAGCTCCTGGTTTCAGATCAGCGCAGCTCCGGCCATTGCGGTCAATTGGGGAGGGAACCAGCAGATGGAAGACCTCTCTCTCTCTCTCTCTCTCTCTCTCTGCCTCTCCTTCTCTCTCTATGTTAACTCTGACTTTCAAATAAATAAATAAATCTTAAAAAAAAAAAAAAAAGATCAAGCCATTGTCGTTCCACAGGAGGAAGACACGTGCCCAGGTGACTGTGATACGAGGCAGGAAGAAGCAGGTGTGTAAGAGACAGGCACAGCCCAGTGCTGGGTGCAGAGGCCGTGACTGCTGCTGCGAGGGGAGGTCGTGGGGAGCAGCCAGCAACTCAGCAGAGCTTGAAGGACGAGCCTTTCAAGACAGGCTGAAATCCATTCTCCTTCTCTCCAGCTTTATTATCTACTGGCACAGCTCTTATAAATGTGGAAACTGTGTGTTTAAGAGAACACTTTCGGGACCAGCGCT